AGGAAGGTCCAGATGCCTGTTGATAGAGTGGGTATCGGAGAACCACGCCTCAAGAGTTAGCCGTTCTGTTTTTGTGTTGCCTCGGCCTAAGATGGTAGCCCTCTGGAGGTCGGGGCATACTTTTGAACTCCAGAGGGCCACACCCCCTGCCTCCACCTGCATTGGCGAATTTGACTGATTGCGTGAGATCCTGCATCTATCGGCTGCCGTTCTTCCATTTTCACAGCCTGACATAATTGGGGGGGCAGGTTCGATCAGGCGAATGCCAAGCGCACATGGTTCGCCAGGTTCACGCACGCTGTCCACAGCTTGCAAAGTTCTATCTACCCGCATTAGTTGAGGCCTCAGTTTTAATCCTTCACTGGCGGTTTGGCAACGAAATGACTCCAAGGTACTTAGCGGTGTCCCCCTCCTCAAGACGACAGCTGCTGACCACTGGTGTCCTGTCTTATTGTCAGAGCAGGAGAATCGAGGTGCAGTGCCTACAACTTTTATTGACACCGGGTCAATTAGATATAGTTAATCAGAATGGACAGTGGGCTTGATTCTTTCCAAACACCTGGCCGCCTATCGAGCGATTTTAAGATATCGTTGAAACAGACTGGAGCAGTGTATAGTCCACAGGAAATCTCAATCACAGCGTTTATTGCAGCCTCATTAACCGACACGCAACTCACGATGAACAGAGTCAAAATTCAGCAACGACTAAGTCAACAGCCCACACTTGAATTCAGCTACTATTAGCCTTAAAAGCACTCGAGAATGTGCCGCAGGGCGAATAATTTATGCTGACTGGAACCTTTCATGTGCTAGACATCTTCGCCGAGTCGGCCTCATGTGGCTTTTCTGTTCTCTCTCCATTTTGCCTGCACCTACTTGCGCCAAATGAAGGCGAGCTGACGGATCTGCGTACTGCCCTCGTCTCAAACATCAATCTGGCCATCGTGGCCGTCCGACTGAGCATTCATCGTTACCTGGATCAAACGGATCCCACCCTCTGGGAGAACATTGGCAGCTTCGCCCAGGTTGTTCTCGAGCAACCCTACAAACTCTGGCAGTTGGAGGTATGGCGTCTTGAATTCACCCTTTTCTGGCCCCTTTAAACCCTCCAGTCGTGAGGAAAAGGCCATTCCTTTGAAAGTTTTGCCTTTTTTCGGTGACATGTAACACTTTTTCTGTCATCCAAGTGGTGCTGCGATGTGTCCGCCAGTCCAACTTTCAAGTGGGGTTTAGCGCTGCGCTGTTATTTGCGAGTTCGACTTTCTGATGCTTCATACCACAGAAGGTGTGTACCACGTTGTCTGTGAACGGAAACATCAATACAAGTCCTTTGGTGCAATTTTAAAAGAAACTGGTGAAAGCGTGAGATCACTGAACCACTTCTTGAGCCTCTGAACTTTGGATATCTGGAAAAAAGGCAACAAGACTTCAATAGCATTTGTGTTTCACGGCTCCTGGCACAGATACGGCTCTCGGCTATGGTCCAATCTGTTTCCTTTATAGCTCCTACGTCGGTCTCTTTGTGTCGGCGATGTGGAACTGGCGACTCACCTTCAGGGTGTTGTGGATAGTTTGAGATCAGAGCTTTTACTCCTCTACGCCATCAGTATCACCCTGCTTTGCTCAGGTATCTTTATGTTCATCGCAAGGGCAACGTCGGTAGCACTGAAGTGACGCCCATCACCAGCAGCGCGAACCCAATGGCATGTTGTCCAGCTTGTCACCGCAAATTGCGATTACCTGCGAATACATCACGGTGCGATTGAAGCTACGATCAACAGTTACCGGACTCCGGCCCAACCTGCACCCGCACTTTCAACCGCGACATCGTCAGATTCGGTCATATGCGCACTCATTAAGACCCTGCGTTGCTCACACCACGGTCCTACTGCCCTATTTTCTATAGTCGGTAATCACGGACGAACTGACGTACTTGGCGCTTTGGGCGACTGTACGATGCGTCACCCACTGCACCTGATCTCGTACTTTGTAGGCCGACAGATCCGGATGAGGGATGAAAAACTGAGGTCGATGCTGGAGGTGCCTTCCTCACGTTAGCATCGTGTTTCCTTTGGGGTTTTTTCTCCTCGGCCATCTCTGTATTCACTGAAATGCATTCCCCTCTGGCGTAGTGCGTCAGTTTACGTAGCTGTCGGGCTGTGGTCGCTGCGCTCTGCGTTGCTTCGTGGAGGCGGAGATGGATGCTGATGGTCTGGTGGGCTCAGACTGCAATAAACATCCACTGCAGATGAACTTGTGGCACGGTCGGTAATGGACCACCCCGCCATCCATCACCGGGCTATTGAACACTCGTCAGTGGATACATACACACACAAGAACGAAAGCAGGCGCAGAGACCAACTTATTTTTTCGTATGCTTAACACGCTCATTTTTCTTCATTCTAATAGAAGCGAAGAGACGAGTCCCAGGAAGCAGTCTTGAAGAAGAATACATGATCGCCGGGACAAGAGCTTTATTAGCCTGACGTTTCGGATTCCCTCTCGAATCCATCATCAGAGACAAAAGCAGATAAGGGTGGCTCATGCATATGTGGCTGCAGTATTTATAGGATGCAGTAGCCATGCCACCGCATACCTATGAATATTCACGGCTC